ATCTCAATGCTGTTTTAATTTGCATTTCTTGAATGACCAGTGATGGTGAACATTTCTTCATGTATTTATTTGCCATATGTATATCTTCATCTTAGAACTGTGTGTTCATCTCAGATGCCATTTTTGGTGAGAGTCTTTGAATTTGGGGGGGGGGGCTTGATGTTTTTCAATTCTTTATATGTTCTGGATATAAGTCTTTTGTCTGAGAGGTTGTTGACTAAAATTCTTTACCATTCTGTGGGTTTTATTTTCACTCTGTTGGTGGTTTCGTTTGAAGTGCAGAAACTTTTCAATAGTATGAGATCCCAGTTGTTGATTCTTTGAAGTATTTCCTGTGCAGCTTGCATTTTGTTCATGAATTCTCTGCCTACCCAATATCTCCAAGATTCTACCTACCTTTTCTGCCAGTAGATTTAGTTGTTCTGTTTTAATATTTATGTCTTTGATCCATTTAGACTTTAGTTTTGTACATGGTGATAAACATGGATTTAATTTCAGTCTTCGACATGTGGAGAACCAATTTTTCCAACACCATTTGTTAAAGAGGCTATCCTTCCAGTGAACATGTTTAGCCCCTTTGTCAAATCTCAGGTGGCTGAGTATCTTTGCAGTTGTGCTTGCATCTTCTAATCTGTTCCACTGATCCTCAGGTCTATTTCTTTGCCAGTACCATTCTGATTTTATCACTGTGGATTTTTAGTATAGTTTCAAGTCATGAATTGAGATGCCTCCTGCATTGCCTTTGTTGCTCAGAATTGCCTTTGCCATTCTAGATTTCTTCTGTTTCCAAATGAATTTTAGGAGTGTTTTCTCTAGATTTGTGAGGTAGGTTAATGGTTTTTGATTGGGACTGCATTAAATCTGTGTACCAGTTTTGGGAGTGTGACCATTTTCACAATGTTGGTTCTTCCTAGCCAAAAGCAAGGAATATTCTTTCATTTTCTAATATCATCTTCAATCTCCTTTTTTAGCATATTATAATTTTCAGCATATAGGTCTTTTACATTCTTAAGTTGATTCCTAAGTATTTCATTTTTTTAGATGCTATTGTGAAGGGCGATATTTCCACATTTTCTCTCTCAGTGATTTTTTTGTTTGTGTAAAAGAATCCTATTGATTTTTGAGCATTGACTTTGTATTCAGCTACACTTCTGAATTTATTTCTTCTGGTAGTCTTTTAATGGAGTTTTTTGGGGTTTTTATATAGAGTATCATATCATCTGCAAATAGTGATAATTTAACTTTTTCCTTTTCTATCTTTATTCCTTTTATTTTTCTCTCTTGTCTGACTGCCCTGGCTAGCATTGCCAGAACTATATGAAATAGGAGTGGTGATAGTGGACATCCTTGTCTTGTTCCTGATTTAAAAGTGAAAGCTTTCCATTTTTGTCCATTTAGTATAATGTTGGCTGTTGGTTTATCATAGATGGCCTTTATAAGATTGAGGTAGACACCATGTATTCTGAGTTTCTTAAGGGTTTTTATCATGAACGTGTGTTAGACTTTATTGAAAGCTTTTTCTGCATCTATTGAGATGACCATGTGGTTTTTATTTTTGGCTCTGTTTGATGTTGTGAATTACATTTATTGAGTTGCATATGTTAAACTATCCCTGCATTCCTGGAATGAATCCCACTTGGTTATGATGTATAATCTTCTTGATGATTTGCTGCATTCTATTTGCCAGTATTTTATTGAGAATATTTGCATCAGTGTTCATTATTGAGATTGGCCTACAGTTCTCCTTTTTGGTTGTGTCTTTCTCTGGTTTTGGTATGAGAGTAATACTTGCCTCCAGGACTGATTTAGGGAGAATTGCTGCCTTTTCAATTTCATTGAAGAATTTAAAAAGTATGGGGATCAAATCTCTAAATTTCGTGTTGAATTCAGCTGTGAATCCATCAGGACCTGGGATTTTCTTTGTTGGTAAGTTTTTAATTACAGTTTCAGTTTTTAACAGCTGGTATTGGATTATTCAAAATTGCTACATCTTCTCTGTTGAGTTTTGGTAGTTCATATCTTTCTTAATATCTGTTCATTTCCTCTGTTTTGCATTCTATAAGAGTAGAGATTTTCAAATTAGGTATTTATGATCTTTTGAATTTCCATGGGATCTGTAGTAATTTCCCCCTTTTCAGTCCTTATTGCATGAACTTGTTTTTTTTCTTTCTTTTTCTTTATAAGGTTATCTAGAGGTTTGTCAGTTTTATTTATTCTCTCAAAACCCCAGCTTTTTGATTCATTAATTCTTTGTACTTTTTTTACTTTTAATTGCATTAATTTCTGCTCTAATCTTTACAATTTCCTCTCTTCTATGAGCTTTAGGTTTGACTTGCTCTTCTTTTTCTAGAAGCTTGAGATGAAGATTAGTTTATTTGTGCTTGTTCTGTTTTATTGCCATGACAATTTATCTCTATATATCCTTCTTAAGACTGCATCCCACAGATTACAGTATGTTGTTCTCACACTTTCATTGAATTGTATGTATTGCTTTATTTCTTCTTTTATTTCATCTGTAGCCCACTGGTTGTTCAAAAGGTTGTTATTCAATTTCCATGTATTTATGCAGGTTTTGCAATTTATTTTGCCATTAAATTCCAATTTCAGTGTGATATGGTCAGTTATTATGCATGGGATAATTTCAATACCTTTGCATTTACTTAAGAATGTTTTATGGGATAATGTATGGTGTATTTTGGAGAATGTCCCATGTGCAGCTGAAGAATGTGTATTCTGATGCAGTTGAGTGGAACACTCTTAAAAATCTACTAAGTCCAATTTCTCACAGGTATCATTTAGTTCTATTACGTATTTGTTGACTTTTTGTCTAGTTGATCTATCTCTTCGTGATAATGGGCTGTTTAGGTCCCATGTTATAATTGTGTTTTTGTGTATTTGGTTTTTCATGTCCATTAGTATCTGTTCCTTGCCATTCTTATTTAAGTCCTCTCAATTTTTATTTCCTCTCTAGAGTTTTGAATACCTGTGAGTCCCCAAATTTAAGCGGTTTTTAATCTCTCTCACAGAGCCCCATAGCTGTTTGTGTCAATATATTATCCATAGTGATTAAGAATCTTTCTGATAGTCTTTAAAGGCAGCACTTCCTTTGTGCTCAGAGCATTCAGATGAACAAAGACATAAATAATGTAGTAGGAATTCAGAGGTCAGCTTGGGATATTCTTAGCTCTAGCCTAGACTCAAATTCATTTGTACACAAGACTTTATATTTCTAGCTAGATGAAAATTCCATTGATAAATAACTAATTTTATAATATATATAAATTTTGTAGTCATTTTAATAGTATACTTTGCATTTTTGATAGCCTTGAACATGGTGACTTGTTGATTGCTTATTGTATGTATGAAAATTAATTTGATATTGCAGTTCTTATGACCGAAGAATGAGAGAATTCCATGTATTCCATGTACACTTTAGAAGACTTCATCGGATGATTACGAAGCCTCTTTTTCAATAATTTTTCATTTTATAAATGAATTTTGAATTTCCTCTATGAGAGAAAACTTATGTATTTTATTAATTTAAAATCATGGTCTCCATGTGCATCCATGTTCCCTGAAATGACCAAAGATTGGTAGTCAATTATAAATATATGCCACATTTTCTTTATGTATTCATCTACTGATAGGTCATTTCCATGATTTAGCTATCATGACTTGTCCTGCTATAAACATAAGTATACCTGTATCACTATAATATCTCTTTTAACTCTCTTGGAAAAATACCAAGCAGAGAAATAGCTGAGTAAAGTGGAATTTCTGCTTTTGCTTTTTTTGATTAATGTCTAATGATTTCCACACTAGGTGTACTAGTTTAAACTCCCAACAAAAATGGGGGAGATATCCTTTTTCCTTCTCAGATTCACCAGAATTTGTTATTCTTTGATTTCATGATGATAGCCATTATTTCTGAAATAAGATGCAAGCTCAGTGCTATTTTAATTTGCATTTCTCTTATAATCAGAGATATTGAACCTTTATTTGTGTATTTATTGGTCATTTTTACTTCTTTGAAGTGTTTATTCATCTCAGTTGCCACTTTTTGATTGGGTTATTTATTTTGAAGTTCTAGAATTTTAAGTTCTTTGTACCTTCTGAATATTAGTGCTCTGTCTGAGGAGTAACTGATAATTTTTTTCTAATTCTGTAGTTTGTCTCTTCTCTCTGTTGATTCTTTTGTTTTGCACATTTTTAATAGAATATAGTTCCATTTGTTGATTCTTGATGTTATATCTTATGCAAGTCATTGCCTATGTTTATGTCAAGAGTTTTACCTATTTATCAGTGGATTCTGTTGTAATATTTAGCATATGTACGTATTACATTTTATATGCATTTTACTCAAAGTTTATTTTATAAGTTTTATTATTTTAGGAATTCATAGAATTTTTTTTTTGTCTTTTTCAATTTTATCAGTAACGGGGATCGAACTCACGCCTGCCTGCTTGCAAGGCAGGCGCTTATGCCACTGAGCTAAATCCCCAGCCCCTTAATTCATAGAATTATTAATCAATAAAATACAGAATTAAAAATTAAAATTTTACCACTTATTTATTGTTTACAATTTATTTATTTATTTATTTATTTTAAAGAGAAAAAAATAGAAATAAAAACCAAACACTTCCAAAGCAGGCTAATAGGAGAGTAATGATACTTAACACATTGCATATTGTTATCTTCATAGAACTTACTTATACTACAAGGTATAGGCATAATATTGTCCAAATCATAATAGCACAAATCATCATTTTCAATGATGTTACAATTTTTATATGAGTTTCTACTATATCTTTTTAATCCATGTACTATTTTACAATGGCAGTGAAAATGGGGATATGCTCATGCTCACATTATGTGATGTAGAAATACCCATAGAAAAATATTTATCCTTTTAACAGTGATCAGTAAATAGATAGTGCATTTTTTAAGATTTTTAATTTTTTTTACTAATGTTTCTTTCTCTCTCTCTTTTTTGTTTTCAGTACTTCTGAAATCCCTCAGTTCCGGCTGCCATATGATGTAGTGAATTTTGAGGTTGAGCTTATGAAGGACCTTGGCATAAAGGTAAACAAAAATCGTAACAACTATAAAAGTATTGCTCAGAAACATAGGAATAACAGCTTCTCTAAAGATTTACAGCAAATGACATGCATTTTAGGAAAGAACAATTAAAAGCAGCACCAAGCAGAAGCAGAAAGACGCTTTTCTTTGCTGAGGGCATTTGTCTGTCTACTGTCTGAATGCCACCAGCCTGGAAAAGGGCAATCAATAGTTCTCATCTGGCAAGCCTGCATGTGATTAATTGTCTGTAAGACACAAATTCCTAAATTGCTTTAGGGGTTCAATGCAGCTAATGGAAGGATTTGGTTTCTTTAATCACATTTCTTCATACAAGTTTTATGCACCTGAAATATTAGTATTTCACTGTTTGGAAAATAATTTATTATAGTTTGTTTATTTACTATATAAATGATGTCATTATTGTTCAGGTGAGGATCCTTTTAAAACCTAAGTAATAAATGAGTGACATAGAGAGCAGCAACTTTGTACTTTTTATTATTTTGTGAACTATTTGTAGTACTTTTAAAAGTAGATAGAAATTTGAATATTATATTGAGACTATGCTTAGGGGTCCTTGTTCTATTCCATTAGTTAAAAGTATCATACTCTGGCTCTTCACTTGAGCATATTAATATTTTTGTTGGAAAATATTAATTTTTCATGTAACAATAGAAAAATGATTCACATAATATATTCTCTCAGGATATGCAGAAGGTATCGAAAAGTGGTTAGCAAACTAATCTCAACTCCAAGGAAGCTGAAATTAGGCAATAAAAGTGGAAAAACTCAAGTCATATTTTATGTTTTTACATTAATATTTGCAGTCTATTTGACAGTATTTGTCTGATAAGAATTTTACATGAAATTGCTAAATGAAAAGTCCAGTAGAGACCAAGATACTGAGGGAGGGTGGGAGGAAGAAAAGGATAGGAAATATCAAGAATTATGATGTGTTATGTACGTGCTCCAACACTTCACAATGAATGTAATTGTTATATACTGCAGACATACTAGTAAAAACTAAAGATCAAGAGAAAAAAACACAATGTTCAAAAATGACAGCATTCAAAATATAATTTAGGGGTGATTACTTATGAAATTCTGGAAAGTTCTTTAAATGTATTTCATTTTGAATTTAAATTCTTACATAATTCTCATTAGGAAAGAATAATTTATTAAAACTTCGAACTAATGTACTTCATATGCCTGCCAATTAAAGACAAAGAAATTATGGCATGTTAAAGTCTTTTATACATAACTTCCAAATTACATTCTATTTCACGGGAACAGACATTTTGCACAAATTAGAGGATATATATTCCTTATATTTATAAAATAAAATATAGTGGACAATGTACTGAGTGTAGAAACTATACATTTTAACTACAGTTATTCACTTTCTAATTTTATAGTTAGAGTACTTTGACAAACCAATCTTTACTGTTTATCAATACTTTTTTTGAAAAATATGCTACTACCATTTGGGTAAAACATATCTGTTTTCATATGAATGAGATTTCACTGAAAACATATAAGAATCTGATAATACAGATGGTCTTTGGAAAGTTGTGGGAAAAATTGTCACCATATTGCATGTTTGGATTTCAAAATCTATGAATTTATTCCATTATTTAGAAGAAAAGCTACAAAGAGAAACCTCTCAATTTGTTTTAAGATGTAAAAGGGGTAAATTTACTTGCTTTGTAAACAATGAATACAGTTCTGAAGAGAGGTATCAGTAAGATTCTTTTTCACTTTGGGGTCTCTAATTCATTCAGAAGATGGTCTTAAAACCTTTCTGACCTGTTGACTTTAGCTTTAAGAGACTCCATTTTCAAAGGAGTCACAACACTCAGCTTCTCATAATTTATGTTCTGTTTGTCTCCCTCAACTAACAATATGTTCTTCAGAGTCAAAATAGTTTCTTGAAAGTAAAATGACATTTTCTCTGGTTTCCTAGCTATGCCCCATTCAGTGTATAAAATTTCTGTGAATTTTATGGTTTAGCATTTTCTTACCTTATTTTTTTCTTTAGATTTGTTTCATTTATTTAATAAATAACTTTACCTTTGACAGTATGCCAAAGACAGAATACTCTAGAATCATTCTTTTAAATTTCAGGTCTTTACCTGTAATAGTTTAAAAATCATTCACATATTCTAATCATTCTAATCATATGTCTTCCTTTTTGCTGAGAAGTTTCTTTTTTGTTTTGTTTTTATTTATTTTAGTAGTATAAGTTTTCAGTTAATGCTTTTTACCGTCAACTTTGGAAGTAGTTACAAGTACATGCCGCAGTTTTTTCCTTTCTTTTTTAAAATCCCCTTTCTCTTTTCTCTTTGTACCCTCCTTCTCTCCTTCTCTAATTCCCCTATTACAATTTTCATCCTTGTCAGTATTATTAATCATAGTTCATATTATGGCTTACAATGTTTACATTATGCCATATATATATTATATTGCTATTTGAAGTAACTCCCATTATTATAGTATTATTGGAAAACAAATATAAAATCAGATTATATGTCAACTAGAAGTAGAGATCTGTTCATTAATATCTACAAAAATAATTTTACTTAAGAAAGCTAGGTATTAAATTCTTCTATTTTCTATCTGAATGATTTGGAAAAATTAGGTCTCTTTATCCAAATTTTCTAACAGAAAATTGTAAAGACATATGTATTGTTTCATTTTAAACAATAAGTATCACGTTTCAGTTGAAGTAAGAGTTCTGCTCCAAATAAATATAAATATTTATCCTGCACAATAAGTATTATTAGTGATGTGAATAGATATTATGGATACAAAAATATTTTATCGAAGTACAAAATATTTATTACGTGGACTTTTTGACTTTAGTTTTGAGCAGTTGACATTTAAAACTTTTGTCTTAAAATATTTGAAACTTCTGTTGCACCAAAGTACTAAATATTATACTGAACTTGAAGTGGGGTGAATTTTTATTCTGAATTTATCTAAGAAATAACTATTTCTATGTTATTAAATTCATTAGCAGAAGGGAGTAATACTGAAATCCATATCTAATAAAATCGCTGTGTAAGATATTACATGTGTAACATCTTAAAAGTACAAGGTAGAAGAAACACAAATAAAACAAAATTTCCACTGTGATTTTCTGTACTGTTAGATCTATTTCACAAATAATGTTGAGATTCCATAAAATATCAGCTACAGGAATATTTTTGGTGTCAGTAATTGTCTTATTATTTTGCACGTCTCAGTGAAATTTCTCACTCCTAATGAAACCAAGGATTGTATTTTTGTGAAGCGTCTACTTCCAGTTCTGTCTGACAGTTGTATATTTATTCAGTAGCAAACACTCAGGTACTGAAACTTTGAGGAAGGAGAAATTTGAATAGATTTCCAGTAACAGAGCAGAGTCCTGAGCCTGTCACTCCATTGAATATTATTGTTATTTTTCTGTTCTCATTTTCAGTAGAAAATGCTGCCAAGTGATGAGTATCATCTGTATTTTCCCCAAGGTCTGTGCACAGTTAAATGAAGTCTTTTATTCTCAATTTTAGTAGTTTAACCCAAAATGTCACGATAATTCTAAGACATCTATACGCAAAAGGAAAAATCTCCATTATCTCTTCCCCAATTGCCTACTAAGGTGGCATTACCTTGCAGAGATACAAAATGTCTGCATCTTTCCTACATAATTATAGCTTTTCATTTTATGTGGCAGAAGGATTGGGGTCTTTCTTTGCATTTGGTAAATAGCACAACACTACTACATTATTGAACTAAGCCTCGAGACATGCATACTTACACACAAACAACATTTCAGAAAGGACGGAAATTCTTTTTTGAAACATCTTGCTGAGGTAATGGATGATTTGAATTTGGAAACTTCATTCTTATTCATTTGTTAATATTTAATTTAGAATATTTAGACCTGTTTTATTTCACATTTAAGCTTTTATATGCATGCATACATATGTATTTAAATTTGTATTAAAATTGTTTTTATAAGTAACAGAATTATCCGTATTTCTTTTTAATAAAGTAAAAAATATCTGTGATTAAAAACTAAAAGAATTTAAAATTTTAAAATCTCACCAATAGATACTTTTAAGGGATCTATTTCTACTAAATAATAATAATTTCATTATTAGCTTCTATATGTTTACTATTCCAGTTTACAGAATGACATTTGATGTGTTCAAACTTTTCAATATTAGTATTTTACCTTTATTATAAGCTTCCAACGCTTAGTTTTTGGTAATATAACAAAAGAATTAGTTTTGAAGACAAAAAAAATGGTCTTCCATAATTTAGTCTCTTATCTTTCCCATCATGTCTCTGTCCATTCCTTGGTTTGTACTATATGCTCCAGAAATACTACTTTGCTGGTCTTTCAAATATAATATGCTGTCCTGGGTCATGCCAGCCCATAGTTGATAGGACACAGGAAGTCAGTACATGCCGGAGGAAAGTTCTGTGCTTAAGTACTCTCTAAATGCTAAATGCAGTCAGTGTCTCACTGGTTAAAAAAAAAAAAATAAAATAAAAATAAAAAACTTCTGTTCCCCTATGACTTACATTAGATGCTAGTTTTTAGGAATGTATTGCTTTCAGAAATCAGAGGAAGTACTAGGCTTTGTGCTTTTTAGTTTGGGGTAAGGAATGCAAGATGCAGTCATTTAATTCATAGGCTATATATTGGCTCACATGTGACAAATGGCTCTCTACACAAGCTGGCTAGTCACTAATTGTAGCCTTCATCTTCCATTCTTTGGAGTTCAAATATCTTAAAATCACCAGCATACTCATTTCTTGCTCATGCTGACCAATCCGTGTGACGTTGTCAATATAATGGATCATACTGAAGTTCTAGGGGAAGTCCATATTGCTTCAGATTACATATATTATTTCTGATGTTAACATAGCCTTGAGACAAACTGTAAATTAGTATTCTTATCTCTTCTCTCTGAGCATGAACTCTTTTTGATTCATTTTTTAATTGGAATAGCAAAAATATGCCTTTACCAAAGCTGTGGCCACATACACTGTCCTTATAAGTTTGCCTTAGCACTAGTACCATATCTATCCCAGAAAATACAATTTCAGGTTACTCTTTAGGCAAGCCTGCATTACTTTATATTCATACTCTAGGAATCATCTGATCCTAGAAAGAACCAAACTGGTGATTCAAATGCAGATTTTACAGGGAGCAGACCCACTGTCCTCTTGCCAACTGTACTCTGGGTAGTGTATGTTGTTTCATTTACTCTCTCAAAATATCAAAATGTTTTCATGTAGCCTTCCCAACTATGATAGATATTATAGCTCTTATTACAAACACCAAAGTTCTAACATGGGGATTACTTCAGCTGACAGTTGTAACAATTTCAATTATGCTCTCGGAGACGAGAAGAATGTTCACTGACAGGGTCAGTGGTCTCAAAGGTCCACTGTAAACCAGAATTTAGTCAGGCTCCATTATTTATCCCTCACATAGGTCTCCATTCTCATGTCTCCAGGATTCATGTCAATGAAGAACCTGGCTCCAAATTCCTTTTAATATATAGATGTTCCTCTTACCCAAGTGCCTGGATTCAAGGCCATCACTCTTGTTGGGGAATACATTTTAAAATGTTTACTTTCCACGATATTTTAGAATCCTTGCTCCTAGGAATCAGGCTTCCTTTCAGTATAACTAGTACCAGACCTAAAATTGACTCTTGTCTGAAAAAAAAAAAGTCTAAGGATTTTGATTTTTAATTTGGTAAACAATCTCTGTGTTTTGACTTTCTTCATGTTTGCTGGACAATAATCCTGATAGGAATCCCATTTATTCCTGCTAAAGACCTAAGTTAAATCCTACTTTCTGTCTATATTCTCATTTTTATGGCCTTGACTAAACTCTCCCATTCTCTGAACTCCCATGTACATATGTTGATCACATTTTTTTTAATGTTATAGTTATGGTATATAAATATTCTGCCCTTGCCTGACTAGGTGGAGGCAGAGACTATGTCTCATTTGTCATTTTATTGTCTCAAGTATCCCACACAGAGATTTGAGCATATTAAGTAAGCTTCAAAATTTTACTGATTTGATTTTAATTTTCTTCTGACTTTTTTCTGAATTTACCCAAATGTAAAATATTAGTATTATATTTAGATACATCTTTATGTAAACCTGTATGCTAAAAGATAAGAATATCCACATATTATTTATAGATTGTTATAGATAGATTTTTTGACTGAATTTATTTTGATGGAAATGTTAAGATTTTAATTAACTAAGTACCAAAATATTATTATTCAACTTGTTTAATGTTGTTTTTCTTAGATACAGTGTGGTAAAAGCCTTTCAGTGAATGAAATGACTCTTAGCACTTTGAAGAAAGATGGTTACAAAGCTGTTTTCATTGGAATCGGTGAGTAAGTGGCTTAGTTCCAAATATTTTTTACTTAAAATATATGTTGAGTATTTGGCAAAATCTCCGCAAAATGATTACTTTCGCCTTTTTTATTTGCATTTTTTCTTGGTACATGTTTACAGAACATAATGTTTGCATTCCTTGTGGAAATTTGGTACATGTACATAATACATATTAATTCCATTTTTTTCATCATCTTCCCATTTGAGAAAGAGCTCCTTTCTATTAACTTTTGTTTTGCTCTTTATTGATAGTTTGTGTTCCTCAAATAAGAAAAATCATGCAATGTTTAACCTTGTATGTCTGATTTATCTCACTTAATATTGTTATGTGAAGGTCTATCTGTTTTCTTAGTCCAATCTGACTCAAATCTGTCCTTTTTATGGCAGAGTAGTATTTAACTGTATTTAAATAGTGCAAAAAGTAGTCCTTTATCTGCTGAAGAATATGTAACTTGCTTTCAACATTTAGCAGTTTTGAGTTGTGCTGCTCTAAATGCACATATCACTGTAATATGATGTCTTTAATTCTTTCAGGAAGATACTGAGATGGGAAATACCTAGGTGAAATGGAATTTCTTGTTTTAATGTTTTCAGCAATCTCCCTACTGGTTCCAACACTGGTTGCACTACCTTATATTCTCAACAACAATGTAGAAAAGTTTGTTTTGCTCCTCAACCTAGTGAGCATTTATTGTGATTTGATTTCTTGACTATAACCATTCTTTGGGGGGCTAAAATGGAATCTCAGTGTTGTTTTAATATGCCTTTTTTTTTCCTTTTGTACCAGAAATCATGCTTATGAGGCAAGTGCTGTGCCACTGAACTATATTAAGTTTACCATGATTTGCATTTCTTTAATGGCTGTAGATACTGAGAATTTCTTCTTGTATTTATTGGCCATTTGTATTTCTTTTTCGTAAAATTCTCTTCATTTCACTCTCCAATTTTTTGACTCTTACTTGAGGGGAATGTCTCCTTTCATTCCATTTCCTTATAAAGTCTAAATATTAGTGCTTTCCTAAAGAATAGCTGGCAATTTCCCCCCATTCTATATGTTGTATTTCCATTCTGTTGTCTGTTTCTTTTGCTATGCAAAAGCTTTTGAATTTCATATGATCCCATTTGTTGAATCTTGGTACTATTTTCTGTGCAAATGAGGTTGAGTTCAGAAAGTTCTTGCCAACACTTGTGTCTTCAAGAGTTTTTCTTATTTTATCTTCCATCAAATGAAGTATTTTCTGTTTTAACATTTTACTACTTTGAGCCATTTTTATTTTAGTTTATGACATGGTGATAGATATGGATCTAAGTTCCATCTTCTGTATAAGGGTAGCCAGTTTTTTCAGTTTTGTTTATTAAAGAGGCTGTGTTTCCCTCAGTGTATAGTTTTTCTTCCTTTGTCAAACATAAAATAGATGAATGTGCTTGAGGTTATTGCTGCATTCTCTGTTCTGTTACACTGTTCCTCATGCCTGTTTTTTTGAAAGTATCCTGATGTTATATTAGTACTTGTTTACGATACTATAGATATGTAACAAGGGCTAGATGTTGGGGGTTATAATGCTCCCTATTTTACTCATATTATTTAGTATTGCTTTTGCTGCTTTGGGTTACTTCTAGTTATTTTTTTAATAATGGAAATTTTATATGTAAGACCAAACATCAGCAATTAAGCTGCATCATCTTAATTATGAGTAGTCTTCAGCAAAGCAGGCTTTTATCTTCCCATTATCTGGATACACTACTGTCATAAAGGACAATCTAGGAAGTAAATTGTTTTCAAGTCACACCATGGAAGCCCAGAATCTGTCTACATGGTGTGTCCCTTTTACGATAATACAGTTGCTAAATTGATAATGCATATCAGCATTTTCTATTCATATTTTATTTATTTTTTAAAAATATGCTTAGAAGTTTTTCTGAAATTCTCAAGGAAATATGGAGCCATTGAACCGCCAGGTATACTTGTTTGTATATTTACTTAAATATCCCATGTATGTTGATTTTTCTAAACTTTTTTCTTCTATTAATTTTTACTGGGAAAATGGAGAGAATAACAAGTACAATTTAATCTTTCTCTTACAAACTTTGTTATTTTCTCAAATGATTGTACACTATACAATTAATGATATACCAATGAAATATGATAAACTGAAACTCAATATAAGTCCACCTTCAAATTTTTCAACTTTTCCTCTCTGCAGTTTACATTTGATACATATGAATCTCTAAATAATGAATGCACGTGAATATAAATTTTTCCCATTTTAAAAATAATCACACACTGGGAAACATTTATTTTGGGACTGTCCTCTTTCTTTGCATATCTAGTTATATCATCATTTGTGTTTCTTTGTTCATTACTTTTTATTACTACAACACTATATATATATATATTTGTATTAGATAATTGTTAACAATTAATTGGGAAACACTGTCATTAATTTTTTTTAGGTAAAAACTTTCACTGGAGTCTAGGTGTGATGACACAAGTCTCCAATACCAGAAATCTGGGTGGTTAAAATATGAGATTTGTAAGCGTAAACTTAGCCTAGAAAATTTATTAACTTAATAAGATGCTCTCTCAAAATAAAAAGAAAAATAATCTGGGAAGAAGCCCTTAGATTAAATCCCAGTATCACAAAAGAAAAAAATTAAAATTGAAATTTATACTATCTTATAGCTCCTAAACTATTGTATTGAACTTCATTCCTTTCAGAACCTACTGCCATTTGGTGAACATTTTGCACAATGCTATTTTTACCAAAATTCAATGTTCTTTTTTACATCAAAAACAAGAAAATGTTCTGATATTGTATCTAGCTTTCATCTTTAGAGTTGCTACACCAAACTTGGTCTACCTATCAATGTTTCTTTTGTACTGATAATTAAATTTAAAATATAGCAAGTATCTATTCTATGAATACCAACAATATTGAGTCTACAAGTTCTTGTTATTTTCAAGAGAATGAAAAAGGTAGGCATTAAATCTGAAGTATTCATGTTTTCATCTAATAACTACTTAAGATTTATCACTGAGCTTTCCTACAGGTGTTATATATAGAAGATATCTTTTTCATCACTAGATTACTATTGTCTAGTACCACTATACGTATTTGTGTATCTACAGATCAGAGATGTATATCTGTGATTTGTAGATAAAATATCACAGATATATATCTGTATCTACAAAAAAATTTTAACTAAAGAAATAGGGCCAAGTCAAGAAGTAGTGTATTTAAATCACTCCAAGTTAACTGCATAAGAAGAAAAATATTAAATTTGGAGAGATTAAATGATTTATACCTGTAAGTGATGTTGATTGTAAGAGATAACTTTTATCTGAATTAATAATCTGTGAGGTTTTGTTTTATCTCACTCTCTTAAAATACTTTACATTCATTTTTGAAAACTGTGCCTAGTTTGTGTCAGTGGTCTCCATTTGACTCTGTACTGTGTGAATACCATGTTGAAATTGTAGACTCCTTTCATATGTATGTTGTTGTACATTTTCATGCAGAGAACTGAATCTTTTGAAATTTTGTTGTAGTAATGTGAGGGCTGCAGTTATGTTCTGTTTCAGTATTTTGTATGAAATATATACAAGAATGTTTCATCCTGTCAAAAAGAAAAACAAAGGTTTAGTTCGTAGAAGACAAGTACCCTTGTTCTCCTGGAAATGCTTATTTGACATTCTTGATTGTTGTTTTGGGAATTTATGACCTTTCTATTACTATATAACTGTCTGTTAGTCTCAGAACCTTACATGTTTTTATTCATTAACCTTGCTATTATATCCTAATTAAACTTCACTCACATTTTATCTACCCCTTTTGACTGAGTTTCGAGAAGTTATTTAGGATATAGATTTGCCTTTAATTTTTAAAAAAATTTATTAGTATGTATTTCATAAAGGAGAATGCATATATATTATATCATGTTTCTTTTTTCTTGTTTCTTTTTAATCCTCTTCTATTTCCCTCTCTCCTTCCTAGATCCCCTATCTGATTTTCATTCTTGGTGATACTATGAATTTTAGCTTTTGTTATGGCATATAATATTTACATTCATTGAAGATTAGGCTGAAACCAGGGCTGGGGATTTAGTTCAGTGGCATAGTTGCCTGCTTGTTAAGCACAAAGTTATGAGTTCATTCTTCGATACCAAAAAAAAAAAAAAAAAAAAAGGAAGAAAATAAAAAGATTAGCCTAAAACCAATCATATTATACATTTAGTTGGTGCCATGTTACATTGTGAACTACCTGTGTCTTTGGTCTGCATGTGATTTCTATATTCATGCTTAGAAACGTAAATAAGAAGCCAATTCTTTCTCTCTTTAAATTTATGATGCCGATATTTTACATGTTGTTTCTGCTTTTATCTAATTGTCTACAACTTGACCATATAACACACCTTGCAGTTGAAGTGGTAGGAAATGTAACTGTCAGCAGACTGGACAGATTCCTCATTAAACTCCTGATATTATAAAGAAAAAGGAGAATAGATACAGAAGAATGAAGTCATCCAAAATTCTCTTGCAGGGATTGTTGACATGTGATATATGAAACTAATAAAGACCATTCGTAAAGAAAAGGATTTAGTGCTTCTGTGTTGGTTGCATAGACAACTTAGCAAAAATGGAGATACATTTTTTCTCTATAGTTGGAAATATCTTATTTGTAACAACCCTTACCTTTCCTTATTTTACTTTATCTAAATTTTTTGTTTTATATGATGTAATATGAATAGTTCAAGAAACGTTGTCTTCATACAAATGTTTCTACATTTTCTCTTTTTAAATATTACATGTGATTTAAAGTTATATTTAGATATTTTCCCCTATTGCTAACAGCCTTTACTAAGAAATCTATCTCATTGAATGTATATTATTTTAATTTTTAAAAAAAATTATGTCTCTTTTGTCATGAGATGTTTAGTTTTTTTTTTTTTTTTTTTTTTTTTAGATGAGATACAGGCTGTGTTTCTTTTCAGCAT